TTCTGGGGAGAGATTCAAGGCTGCTGCAGAAATTTGTGTAACTCTGTGTGTGCAACCTAGAGATTGGTGCCCCATGTCCCAGCCACTTCAACCAAGCTAAAAGTGGTAAAGGTACAACTCAGGCTGTCACTTCAGAGGGTTTAAATCCCAAGCCTTGGTCGCTTTCATGTGGCATCGAGCGTGTAATTACACAGAAGTCAAGAATTGATGGGAGCCTCTAACTAGATTTCAGAGGAGGTATGGAAATGCCTGGATATCAATGCAGAAATTTGCTGCAGGGGTGAAGTCCTCATGGAGAACCTCTGCAACAACAGTGGAGAAGGAAAATGTGGGGTCATAACCCCAGAGTCCCCACTGGGGCATGGCCTCATGGAGCTTTGAGAAGACGGCCACCTCTTCCAGAACCCAGAATGGTGGATTCACCAACACCTTAAACTGTGTGCCTGGAAAAGCCTCAGTTGCTCTACATCAGTCTGTGAAAGTATCTGGAAGTGAGGCTGTACCCTGCAAAGCCACAAGGGATCCAAAGCTCAACACCATGGGAGCCCACTTCTAGTATTCACCTGACCTGGATGTGAGACGTTAAATCAAAGAAGATTATTTCGGAACTTTAAGGTTTAATGACTACCCTCTTGCATTTTAGACTTGTTTGGGCCCTGTAGCCCCTTTGTTTTGGCAAATTACTTCCATCTGAAATGGGGATATTTACCCAATGCCTGTAACCCCATGTATCTAGGAAGTGATGAACCTGCTTTTGATTTTACAGACTCGTGGGTGGGAGAGACTTTTCATGTCTCAGATGTCATTTTGGATTTGGACTTTTGAGTTAATACTGAAATAAGTTACTATTTTGGGGGACTATTGGGAAGACACAATTGTGTTTTAATTGTGAGGATATGAAATTTTGGAGGAGCTAAGGATAAAATAATATGATTTGGTTGTATCCACCCCCAAATCTCATCTTGAATTATAGTTCCATAATCTCACGTGTGGTGGGAGGGACCCAGTAAGAGGTCATTGAATCATGGGGATGGTTACCTTCATGCTTCTGTTCTTCTGAGAATGAGTGAGTTCTCACAGATGTAATGGTTTTATAAGGGGCTTTTTTCTCTTTTCTTGGCACTTCTCCTTGCTGCCTCCATATGAAGAAGGACATGTTTGCTTCGCCTTCTGCCATGATTGTAAGTTTCCTGAGGCTTCTCCAGCCATGCTGAACTGTGAGTCAATTAAAGTTCTTTCCCTTACAAATTACTCAGTTTTGTGTATGCCTTTATTAGCAGCATAAGAATGGACTAATATAGGGGCCTGCCAAATAGGCATCTAGTCCTTGCATGACTGAACTCAGCTACTCAGGTTCCAGTCCCTTAGAAGGAAAACATGCAGACACCCTAAGTCACAGTGTAAGCATAAATGACTGGTCCTTCAGGACCAAAGCTTTAGGCATGCAAAAACACACCTATCAAACAAACAGAATATTCTAAGGTCTCAGAAATTATCTTTCTTCCTAAACTGACCAATTACTCTGTTTTTCTGAAAACATAGAATTTGAATAACCTGGACCTGCTAAATTAACCATTTCGTGCAGAAAAGTAAGTTTAAATACAAGGAGCTATTATTGTTGTAAAGACTTTGGTGCTCTGAAAGTGCATGTTTTAGAAAATGAAACCTCACTCTTCATGGAACTGATATGCACAAATTTCAGTTTTCATGATTTAGATGAAATAACGCCAGTCCCCAAACAACAGAGTATAATTTTTAATTATGACAAAATGTAAACTGTAATTTCATAAAGTATAAACTTTGCTGCTGGTTCTACATCCCATGCATTACTATGTATTTAACAGACTCATGCCCTGATCAATGAGTAATCACAGCTATTCTTGTAATTCAGTTTACACACAGATAACAAATGTGTAGTGTTGTTTCTTATCTCCTAGTGATAGGCTTACTTGATTTCTTATAAAAATGAAACCATATATTATATACAATCCCATTATATATTAATATAATACAGTATTTAATAGAATATAGTACATATTGGTAGCATAATATCAATATTGTATTATATATACCATTGCATATATCAACCAAAAAGTATCTGAGAAAAGTCTCAATCAATTTTGAAAGTTTATTTAATATTTTGCCAAGGTTAAGGATATGCCTATGACACAGCCTCAGGAGGTCCTGATGGCATGTGCCTAAGGTGGTTGGCATACATCTTGCTTCTACATATTTTAGGGAGACAAGACACATTAATCAATATGTGTAAGATGTATGTTTATTTGATCTGGTAAGGTGGAATAACTCTAAGTGGGAACTTCCAAGTTAGAAGTAGATAAGAGTCAAAAAGTTGTATTATTTTCAGTCCTTGATTAGCCTTCCACTGAATACACAATTTGAGCTCTTGATCAGCTTTCCACTGAACACAAAATTTAGTTTGGCTCAGTTAATCTACATTTTTTACCTAACTAATAGGTCAGAGGAAGCAAACAGATATGGATTTGTTGCAGGTGAGCCTCAGAGGGATGACTTTGAGTTCTGTCTGTCCTTTGTCCACAAAGAATTTCCTTGTGAGCAAATTGTGAGACAGATATGTAACTTTTTATATTTGTAATGATCCTATTTAGAAATATAATGGAAGGTATGTTTCTCTGATGTAGTTCCCAGTTTGACTTTTCCCCTGGCATAATGATTTTGAAGTCCTGAGATTTATTTTACTTTTACATATATAATATGTAATATATTATAATGTTATATATAATCTCTCCATGTAATATATAATATTTACATAACACTATATAGATATTACAAGTGAAATGGTAGATTGTGACAATATTGACACTGCCACTGCTTAAAAATCTAAATATGCATCCAGGGCAATTAATGATGGTGAACTTATCAATGTAAATGAAGCTGATTATGGTGAAAGACTAGAGGTGACCTATAGGAAGTAAAAACACCACAAAAACTTCACATTCAAATAACTCTCAGAGATATTTCTTAATATTGAAAGTGTAAAGAATAAAATATAATATTGGCGACCAATCCAAATTTAGAAAGAAGTATGACAATTCTCCAAGGCATACAAAAAGATGCTTGCTTAGTGCTGTAAGTTGTATAACAAGAAGGCAATAAATATTCAAACTATTCTTGATAAGTTTTTTTAAGGAAATAAAACACTTTTTTTGATTGAAATATATAAAAATAAAAAAATAAAATAAATTGAAAAAAAGAAATTATAGTGTACTAAATAAATGTTAGTTTAATTATATTTTTATTTTCCTACATACTTTTATCACCCACAGTATGAGCACTTTACATTTTTTAACAAATATTTTATAGGTCATGGAACAATCAATTATTTCTATTGATTATTAAGGCTTTTTTTTTTCACAGTTTCAGCATTCATAGTAACTGTTATGGTCCCACACTAGCATGCAAAGTGAAGTCTATTTGTATTTTAAACTATCATGAAATTCTTCTTACTTTTGTTGTTATTCTCTTTTACCTTATTGATTGCTGAAGGACAGAACTTTGATTTGCATATTTTATATGATAAGTACCAGATAATAAAATTTAAATAAAAGTAAAGTAATCCAATGAGCATAATTGATTTAACATAGATGAGTATTTAACACTGAAATAAAATATGAGATAACTGAATAAAAATTATAAATGTCTGTGCCATCCTGGACTTTTAAAATGTATTTATCCCACTAAAGCAAATATGTACCTAAAAGGCTCAAACATTTTAACTGTATTTACATGCCCCAATTCCCTAATTACTTTCCACCTGTGCATGCCATTCTGCAGCTTCTCATTGTATCTCTATGAAATTTCATTTTTTTCCTTAAGCTCCATATATCCTAACAATGGGTTGAAGATTATGTCAGTTTTCTATTGCTACATAACAATTTATTCTCAATTAATGAACTTAAAACAACAGTTCCTAGTGACAGAATTCTGAATGTGGATCAGCTGAGTACCTCTTGTTTTTATAATTACACTATTGGCCAGGGCTGGAGTTTTATCTGAAGGGCAACCTGGGGAGGGTGCATGTTAAGCTCATTCATTTGGTTCATGGCAATATTTAGCTCTTCAAAGATGTTGGATGAAAGCCTCAGGTTCTACCTGGCTATTGTCTGGAGCCTCTCTCAATTCTTGCAATTTGGGACTTTTCATAGGGTTTCTCACAGTATGACAAATGTCTTCCAGAAAGTGAGCAGGCAAGAGAGTGAGGAAGAGCCTCTTAAAGTCAACAGTTAATTTTGTAGTCTTTCAGTAATGTCTCATTATATATACAGTATTTTATTAGTAGCATTTCAGAGCCCAGGTCACACTCGAAAAACAACATTTCACAAGTTACAAATACCAAAAATAGATATGTTTAAGAAACATTTTAGAGACATCTTTCAGATCTCAATTTCAACATATTGATATTTGAGACACTATCTGTTTATTTATAGGATTTGTGATCTGAGGAATAAGATCTGAATTTTTTTGGCAAGCCTCCTGCCTATGCATTACCAAGAGACAAAAGGGAAAATATTGGCCTCTGCATTATTTTCTATTGCACACAGGCCCGTGAAGAATGTATGTGGAGACTTCGAGCTTGCCAGCAGTGGTACAGCCAATTGAATAATAAAGTATATTTGAAAATATTAATTATATACATTATCCACAGAAAAATTAGTTTGTTATTTAGAGGTTATCATATAATATTGTTTTTCAACTTATTTTGATTTACTACACACACACACACACACACACACACACATGCATAGCAGCACATATATACATGAGAAGATAATCTTCTAATACATTTTATGATTAAAGTGAAAGAATTAAGGACTTTCCCTAAATCAGAGGTTATTCAGTCTAGGCAAGAAAAAAACATGACAAATTTTAAGAATATCAAAACTAGACAAAGATATTTTTATTTATTCTCTCATCAAAACCGTATTAAAGAATCATGAAATGTAATGCATAGCAGATTCAGTAGTATTATGCTATCTTATTCTTTTGTATTAAAATACTAAGCATAATTTCAAAATGGATGTGGATGAGAAAGTTGTTTATGTCATTTATTAAACTAGCAAAAATTACTGAAAAAAATCACACCTCCATTATCTTATGTGATGCTAGGTAGGAAAGGATTAACATAAAAGAGGGAATAAATTGTTTCAATTAGACATTCTTGTAAAATTATAATGACCTCCTAATAATACCTAATATAAATACCATCAAGAAACATGTTAATGGTACAAACTAGGAAAGGATGTTGTTTGGAGCAGGAGATAATATCATTGTCTAGATTTGTTATAATTTAAAATAAAATATTACATAAAGTTAGGATGGCTGGCTGGCTTGAAAATAGGGAGAACCTTAAATATAATTTTTTCTCAATGCAATCAACAGTATATAAAAGAAAAAATCTCCAAAGCCATAATAGTTTCCTTTTGTGAATGGTGTTCCGGCAAATATTGTCAAAAGTTCTTAAGACAAAATTGAAATACATGCTAATATGAGGGGAAAATGATATTTTTAGTTTCTACATCTGTCAGTTTTGGGATCCTCTAGGAAAAGAATGCTTTATCCATGCCCAGGGCTTGCTTACTTTCTGTGAATATGTAAATTTTAGTGCTGAGTAAAAATTATTATTTGCTTGAGGCTGCTTTTATAATTCAAAATTTGTGTTTGATATCTTTCAATTAGAAGATACCTTTCTGTTTTATAGTAACAAAATTAATCAATAAACAGCAAAGTTTTGACAGAGGCTACTCTCAGTGGAAATTTGAAAGCATTGATATTTGTAGCAATTTTAGTAATTTAACTATGAAGAAATGTACACATGCATTAACACAACTTGTTTGGATAGGGTGGAACCATTTCAGAATCACCGAAATTCTATTGTTTTTCACTCTAAAAGTAAATTCATCAATTGTAGGTGAATATGGGTGCTTTAAAGTGTAAACCCTTAATTTTCTTGTTTTGTTTTATAGATTATTATTTATAAAATCATATAGATCTTCAAGCTGTTTTAGCATACAATGAAAGATAATAGACATTAAATGAAATTTTAGGTGCACTCAAAGATTTGAGTAGAGCTATAACTGACTGACTCACTTAAGAATTAAACTTGAGGCTGTGTGCAGTGGCTCATGCCTGTAATCTCAGCATTTTGAGAGGCTGAGGTGGGCAGATCACTGGAGGTCAGGAGTTCAAGACCAGCCTGGCCAACATGGCGAAACCCCCTCTCTACTAAAAATACAAAAATTAGTTAGATGTGGTGGCAGGTGCCTGTAATCCCAGGTACTTGGGAGGCTGAGGCAGGAGAATAGCTTGAACCTGGAAGACAGAGGTTACAGTTAGCCAAGATCAGGTAATTGTACTCCAGCCTGCGCAATAGGGATACTGCCACACACACACACAAAATTAAACTAGAGGCTTTGATGCTGCCCCACCCTGCTGCAATCAACTATTTGGTATATTCCTCACCAATTAAAAAACATATTCTTTAATAGTTTGTTGTCACTTACACTAAAATATTACAAAGACTGTGCCTCCTGTGGCTGTTACTTTTGTCAAATTTAATATAATTGCCATCTTTTATAATAAATATATAAATACATGTTTATTTTTGATAGTAGGAAACAATGAACTGTTTTCTAGATTTATTTAGGTATATTCTTTAGCAGTGTTGCTATTATAATTTTAATAAATTTATTTTTAAAATATTTAGTTTCAAGCAACAATTATTATAAAATGTTTCTGTTCACTCTATTTGGAGATACATTTTCTGAAAACTCTTCTGTTAGAGTGAATTTTATATGCTGATTATTATTATGGTATTTTTCATACTTATAGCTGCTTTGCAAAATATAAGACAAACTAATTTATCTTAGATTATCTTAATATATGATTAAGGAAAGAGAAAGTTGAACTTGATAAAAAACACAGGAACTGATTTATATGTTTTTACGAATTGACTTTATTAGATCTTTGGAATCTTACCTTCTTTCCTCTACTCTGAGTGGTTTAGATGTGCAGACTTTGCACTACATAGGTATTTCGTTCCCAGATATTTTCTCATTGTAACTTTTTTCTTCAGCATGTTCTATCCTTTTTTAAAACAGAGGATTTAAAATGTTAGCAGTTTGAATTCCAATAATGAGGTTGCTAAGAGAAGGGAAGTTATTCTAAGATACAGGATCTCTCTCTTTTTTTTTTCTTTTTAATTTAAACTTTGGGTACAAAGGCTGAATAGGAAACCTACATGTCTTCATTATTAAGTCTATGGTAGGATAAAAATCTATATCTGGAATATGACTTGGCTATGTCACTAAGCAAAATCTGAACTTCATTTCTATATTCCATCATCAGGAAAATAAAATTTTTATAAATAAATAACTTTTTCAAATGAAGAGGGATTTCTGCCCTTATTACTCTTGAAGTTTTTCATTAGGCTCTTATTGAGGTGCTTTGTGGTACTAACATTTTAACGTGAAAAGATTTTGCTGAACCCAAATAAAAACATATAAAGATTTCAAGAACCTATTTTTGATTTTTAAATAGTTACATTTAGTTAAAGAGATTAAAATTATCTACTTCTAGCTAATCTTTTGTATAGCCACCTTAAACTGTTTGTGTATATGCAACTGTGTATATATATAAAGTTTATGAAAATTATTCCATATAATTTAATGTTTCTCTTCTATTACTTGCTTTTATTTAATTCAGGTGAATAATGTATGTGTATGACATGGTTTGGCTGTGTCCCAACCCAAATCTCATCTTGGATTGTAGCTCCCATAATTCCCATGTGTTGTCGGAAGGACCTGGTGGGAAGTAATTGAATCCTGGGGTCAGATCTTTCCCATGAAGTTCTTGTAATAGTGAATTAGTCTCAAAAGATCTTAGAGTTTTACAAAGGGGGTTCTCCTACACAAGCTTTCTTGCCTGCAGCTTTGGAAGATATGTGTTGCTTCCTCTTTGCCTTCTGATGTGATTGTGAGGCTTCCCCTAAACACATGGAACTGTGAATCAATTAAACCTCTTTCCTTTATAAGTTACTCAGTCATGGGTACGTATGTATTAGCAGCATGAGAACAGACTAATGCAGTATATTTGCATGTTCATACATATACATATATATTACCATTTAAATTTATGTCTATAACTTTATGTAAAATTACATATTACAGCTGGGTATGTTGGCTGACGCCTGTAATCCCAGCATTTTCTGAGGCCGAGATGGTTAGATAATGAGATCAGGAGTTGGAGATAACCCTAACCAAAATGGTGAAATTTGTCTCTACTAAAAATACAAAAATTAGCCAGATGTGGTGGTGGGTGCCTATAAGCCCAGCTACTCAGGAGGTTGGTAGGAGAATTGCTTGAACCTGAAAGGCAGAGGTTGCAGTGAGCTGATATCATGTCACTGCACTCCAGTCTAGGCAGCAGAGCAAGGCTCTGTCTTGGAAAAAAAAATTACTATGCGTTTGGAAAGATAGAATAATTCAAAAATAAAAAGACTAAAATTATTAGTATATGCCAAATTACAACCTTTCTTTAGTCAGAGATAATATGTACTGAAAAATTAAGATGATTTTATTCAGGCTATTTCAATAGAAAGAACAATCATTAATGATAAACATCTTAAAAACAGAAAGGAGGCTTAGAATAGTATAGCTTCAGGTACAAGGAAGTCATCCCCAAGACATGGGAGAATCAAGGGGCAGAGTGGAAAGTGAGCCTGACCTAATAGTGGAGATGGTTAGTTCTCAGCATATGTAAAAAGTGGGAGGCTCTTGGACATGCAAAGTGGTGAACAGATTCCTTAACATTTTTTATTTTCTAGAAGCACAATGCTCAGCTAAATTCCAGCATTGCCACATGTTTGATAACTATTAAACCTAAAAGGAAAATAAGGTAAAGTTACATTAAAAGTTTCATTAATTATTGTGTGGGAGTCTAAGTCTCTTTGTAGGTCATTAAGAACTTGCTTTATGTATCTGGGTGCTCCTGTATTAGGTGCATATATATTTAGGATCGTTAGCTCTTCTTGTTGCATTGATCCCTTTACCATTATGTAATGCCCTTCTTTGTCTCTTTTGATCTTTGTTGGTTTAAAGTCTGTTTTATCAGATACTAGGATTAAAACCCTTGCTTGTTTTTGCTCTCCATTTGCTTGGTAAATCTTCCTCCATCCCTTTACTTTGAGCCTATGTGTGTCTTTGGACGTGATATGGATCTCCTGAATACAGCACACCTATGGATCTTGACTTTTTCTCCAATTTGCTAGTCTGTGTCTTTTAATTGGGGCATTTAGCACATTTACATTTAAGGATAATATTGTTATGTGTGAATTTGATCCTGTCATTTTGATGCTAGCTGATTGTTTTGTTCATTAGTTGATGCAGTTTCTTCATAGTGTTGATGGTCTTTACATTTTGGTATTCTTTTGCAGTGGCTGGTATTGGTTGTTCCTTTCCATGTTTAATGCTACCTTCAGGAGCTCTTGTAAGGCAGGCCTGGTGGTGACAAAATCTCTCGGCAGTTGCTTTTCTGTAAAATACTTCATTTCTCCTTCACTCATGAAGCTTTGTTTGGCTGGATATGAAATTTGGGGTTGAACTTTTTTTTTTTAAATGATGTTGAATATTGCCTCCACTCTCTTCTGGCTTATAAGGTTTCTGCCAAGAGATCCCCTGTGAGTCTGAAGGGCTTCCCTTTGTAGGTAAAATGACCTTTCTCTCTGGTTACCTTTAGCATTTTTTTCCTTTATTTCAATTTTGGTGAATCCAACAATTATGTGCCTTGGGATTGCTCTTCTCAAGGAATACCTTTGTGGTGTTCTCTGTATTTCCTGAATTTGAATGTTGGCCTGCCTTGCTAAGTTGGGGATAATATTGTGAAGAGTGTTTTCCAGCTTGGTTTCATACTCCCCATTACATTCAGGTACACAGATTAAATGTAGATTTGATCTTTTCACATAATTCCATATTTCTGGGAAGCTTTGTTCATTTCTTTTCACTCATTTTCTCTAACCTTGCCTTCTTGCTTTACTTCATTGAGTTGATTTTCAATCTCTGATATCCTTTTGTTCACTTGATCAATTTGGCTATTGAAACTTGTGTATGCTTCATGAAGTTCTTGTGCTCTGTTTTTCAGCTTCATCAAGTTTTTATGTTCTTCTGTATGCTGGTTATTCTAGTTAACCTTTTGTCTAACCTTTTTTCAAGGTTATTGGTTTCCTTGCATTAGGTTAGAACATGCTCCTTTAGCTCAGAGAAGTTTATTATTACTCACCTTCTGAAGCCTGCTTCTGTCAATTTGTCAAACTCATTCTCTATCCAATTTTGTTCCCTTGCTGGTGAGGAGTTGTGATCCTTGGAGAAGGAGAGATCTTCGGGGTTTTTGGTGATTTCAGCCTTTTTGCATTGGTTTCTTCCCATCTTTTTGGATTTATCTAGCTTTGGTCTTTGAAGATGGTGTCTTTTTGGATGGGTTCTCTGAGTGGACATCCTTTGTGCTGATGTTGAAGTTATTTCTTTCTGTTTTATAGTTTTCCTTCTAACAGTTAGACCCCTCTGCTAAAGGTCTTCTGGAGGTGCACTCCAGACCCTGCTTGATTGGGAATCACCTTCAGGGGCTGCAGAACAGCAAAGATTGCTGTCTATTCCTTCCTCTGGACGCTTAGTCCCAGAAGGGTATCCTCCAGATGTCAGCCAGGGCTCTCCTGCATGAAGTGTCTATTCGTCAGGTTAAAGGGGGTCAAGGAGCCACTTGAGCAGTCAGTTTTATGAATTTGTGTTCTTCTCAGGGACATAGATGAAGCTGGAAACCATCATTCTCAGCAAACTGACACAAGAACAGAAAATCAAACACCGCATGGTCTGAGTCATAAGTGGGTGTTGAACAATGAGAACCCATGAACACAGGGAGGGAAACATCACTGTTGGAGCCAGTCGAGGGTGAGGGGCTAGGGGAGGAATAACAGGGAGTGGGGAGATTGGGGAGGGCTAACATAAGAGGAAATACCTAATATAGATGACAGAGGGATGTATGCAGCAAATCACCATAGCATGTTATACCTATGTAACAAACCTACACATTCCGCACATGTACCCCAGAACTTAAAGTTTAATTTAAAAAAAACTTTCATTAATTAAATTAATTTTGGTTATGGAATTTGGAATAAATAGCAAACTTTTCACCAAAGGTACTTCAATGGACACATTTTGCAGAAGGTATTACAGTTTAGCTTAAGTATATCTTATTTACTTCAACTTCAACATATATAAATAAAATGGTATTGGGTTATTGTGTCTATATAAAGTTGTGTCTATATAATGTTGTGCCTATATATTATTGTGTCTGTATAATGTGTCTATATATTCTTTGAAAAACTGTTAATTTAAGAGTTAATCAAGCTTACCATTTAAATGAAATGAGTCAAAAGACACAACATAGAACCAAACTATCTCTTTAAATACAATTATTCTTTTTGCAAATAAAAACTGAGTTACTTTTCATGTATTAATCTATGCAAACTTCTAGTCTTTGTGTTAATATCTTTAAAAGATACATTAAAGCCATTTTTATTAAATATTTTATAAAACAATTAATATATCTAAAATCAACTAGTTTGCACTCAAGGACTTCATTATATTCCTTCAACTATATTGCATCAAGAAATTTTAGTAACTTATTCTAAAGAAGTATATAAAATGTTTATTCTGTATGTAAAATATTAGTATGAAATACAACGCATTTTGTAGCCTAATCAGTATTAATCAGAATAAAATGCAACAACATTAAAATACTAAAAGATACATATTAATATAATAAGCAGATTTTAAATTTATGCAAGAAAGTTGAAGATTAAAAGTGTACTTCAGGCAGTAAGATCAACACACACTAAGTTAATATAGCAAGATATTCAGCATTATGAGAATCACTCCTCATTTCATCAATGAATATATCAGACCAAAATGGAATACAGAAGTAGTTGGCTAAGAAGTTTAAAAGGATGAAAGGCCAGAAAATATAGATGATCAATTCTGAAAACAGAAATTTACTAGAAGATGAGAAATTTATTTACGTTTATATTTTTAATTAATTATTTATTTATTTTAAGACGGAGTATCTCTGTTGCCCAGGCTACAGTGCAGTAGCCTGATCTCCGCTCCCCGTAACGTTTGTCTCCTGGGTTCCAATGATTCTCCCTCCTAGGCCTTCCGAGTAGCTGGGATTATAGGTGCCACCACACCGACTAATTTTCTACTTTTAGTAGAGAAGGGGTTTCATTATGTTGGCCAGGCTGGTCTCAAACACTTGACTTTAAATGATCTGCCCACCTCAACTTCCCAAAGTACTGGGATTACAGGCATGAGCCACTGAACCCAGCCAGAAGATGGAAAAAGAATATTTAACAAGTAAGAATTTAACAAATTGCTTAAATATGTTAAAGTGTAATAGATGTAGGGCAATATATACAGCGTTTCCAGTATAGGATTCCTAGTAGTGGAAATCTCTGTCTATGAAACCTATGATGCTGTGCTAAAGGAATATTAATAACTGATAAACATAAGATTAGAATTAAAATACTAGATAAATATACAAAATATCTAAATGTGTTTATTTAAGTATCTTTATTAGAAGAGAAATTTGTATTAGAAGAGATATTTGCCTATATTCATAGAAGTAAAAATATATAAATACATTTCATTTTACGTGATAAAATCTGAATAATTTTAAAAAAACAGAAATAAAATTTCAAAAATGTATACACCTGAAAGACACTAGTCTTCTACACTCTAGGGAACATTTTGCTTCATTTTGATTTCTTCAAGGTTTTATAAGTTCTTACCTCACTGGTTGTGGGCCCTGGCTGATCCACACTAGATGTAATTTCAGAATAATAAAAGATAACACTTTTTTTTTCTTTTAAGGTTTACTAAATTTTTTAACTAAATTGGGCCTCTATGTTTTTCCTTCAGTTAAATACTTTTAATTATTCTCTTTGAATAGAGGTTTTTAATTTATTCATTTTAATTTAAATATCTTTGTATTTAATGCCCACAATTTATCAAGCTCTGTACTTAGACTATAATGATGAACAAGACTACCACAGGTGCTGTGCTAATAAAAACCTCCGATATCATAGAAAATATATATTTATCATGTAATAAATTTCAATTATGATGATTACTAAGAAGTTAATTTCAGCATTCTATGTGAAGAATTGATAGAAGAATCTATATCAGTTTGTGTTCTTATGTAAGTGCCCCTATAAAGGAGCAGTAGTAGGAGTTGCACGTCTTTTCAGGTACTGAAAAACTGGCCTTGATCATGACAAATAGAGGAACCAAATGAAAGTCAGTATCACTAAGATAGGGAGAGAAAAAGCAATAGATATGTGAAAAGATCCTGGAAAGTCAGACAGGAAAAGAAACCCTGGATGGTATTATTGGCTAGATTTTGTGTCTGTTCAAATATCACTAGGAAGGCCTTCAATTGTTCTATATAACAGATGACCATCAGTTTTACAATTACAAAAAAAATTATTAAAGAATGAAGAGTAAATAACAAAGTAGGAAGAGTTCATTGTGAAACATCACTGAAGAGAATATTACAATAATCCAGAGGAGAAATCATGGCCACTTGACAATGAGGAACAAAACGGTGGGTGGGTCTCAGAGGTATGTATGATATAGAATAAACTGGATTTGTAATAGAATTGATGACAATTAAGAGACTCAAGAATAATTCCAGATTTGGGGCTAAGGGAAAATCATTATGTAAACCATGATGTAATTTCTTAATTTAGGGAACACAGAAAGTGTATATGTTAGGAGAGGAGATTTGTGCTAAATGGGTAGTGCCTGTGGAACAGTTCAGGGCAGATG